TAATAGTCTTGAATGATTTTTGGTGGAAGATCTTGCAATACGTCCTCTTTCATCCTTCGTAATAAAAATGGCAGGACTTGCCTGTGCAATGCCTCCATTGCAAGGACCCCTACAAAGGCCCATAAGAAAATGTTATCGAAACACCTAAGGTTCTTTCAGTAAATCAAGAGCAGAGTTCATGAGCTCCTCCAAAAAGAAAGTGATTTTATTCAGCGGTGTTTCCTACCTGCTTCCTGTTCTCGACTAGAGCTCCGAGCGTCTCTACTTGCTAATATGGGCTTGCCATAACGAGCTGCAAATTGGCGCTCAGTACCCAAAAATCCCGGCATAAGAAAATCAAATAGTGACCACAATTCTAATACATTGTTCTGAAAGAAAAAGATACAATAGAAAAAAAAATGTACCGATGGCAAGTTGGCCATTTGCAGTAAAAATTATAGTGAGTTTATTGCAAAATAGAGAAATTAATCATGACTGCCCACCTGATTCCACAAATAATTCTCCCTTTATTCTGATGTATTTTGCTTGGGCATGAGACATGCAACAAAAATCTAGTCCACGTAAATTCAAACTGTAAAATCAAAGCGTCCGAAAGGGACGCTCTGTGTGAATAGTAATGAGAAGTAAAGCACAACAATTTAAAGGCCACCACAATCTCTGGAAACAACTGTTGGCACAACTGTTTCAAAGGTTTCCCTTGCTGCTTGCATGGGTAAGTGACCGTTTTTCCACTGAGAATGGCCCGTGACTATTGGTGCACCTACCAGCATGCAGAGCTGGGAAAAACCACCCAAAGAGCTCTACCAACTTTTGAGGAGGAGTGTCTCATTCATGTTGACGTGCTTTGCACAGCAATATTTAGTAATCAACATCATACCAACAATTTGGCAATAAAATAGGTGGATATTCAACATCTTCTGATGAGAGATGCTTACACGATGTGATTCCAAGGTTTGGAAGGTAATCTCGCCCATCAATACATACCCTCAACTGAACTAAACAAGTGGTTTTTAGAAACTGAAAAATCTATTTCTCCACTACTATGAGCCTATTTAGACATGGATTACCTGGATTGGTGTTCCAGAGAGTATTATTCTGTAATTGGCAGCCAACTGCTTTATAGCTTTTGACAGCTTCGTTTTTCCATTCTTGATGACATGTCCTTCATCAAGAATACAGTAGTTGAATTTAATATTTCTAGGAAAGAAGATTCCATTAATTGGTTTTCGTTGTTTTAACGCATATAAAACATCTAATTTTTTTTTAAAAAGAGCTCTCACCTGAAAAAATCAATGTCATTTCTCACAACATCATAAGAAGCTACAATTAGGTTGTGTTTTTTTACATGCTGTTGTAATCTGAAAGAGACAAAGGATAAACAAATTAGGCTTTTTATATACAGCATAAACTATACAAGCTATAAAAAGATTTTAAAAATTCAAATAATTCCAAGAAAGGGAAATGGTTCTAACCGCCAAAAGTAACATTTTTAAATACATCGCTTACCTTGCCCTTTCAGTTGGAGGGCCAGTATAGTGCAAAGGATTCAAAAACTCCTTGGAACAAAATTTGCCCACTTCATCCACCCAATGACCTGTCAGGGTGGGCGGGCACACAACCAAGGATGGGAGTGGAATACTATCAGCCACCTTAGTTCTTGCATATTCTTGGGCCCTTTGGAGAACAGTAGAAGAATATACATTCATTTTATTTATTGTACTGGGAAAAAAACATTTGGAGAAATATTGAGCAGCTGTAATTACGTAGTCTACCTGAGATAATGATCTCCTGCAAGAATACAGATGGACTGCAGGGTTTTTCCTAAGCCCATATCATCACACAGGATACCGTGAAGTTTGTATTTGTTGAGAAAAGCCAACCAGTTCACACCTTCCTGTAAGATATGACAAAGATCTTAATAATGTGAGAGCTGAAAAATATATATTGGACTTCTTTTATTTACTGTTATATTTACATATACATTTCACATAAAGACCACTGAAGTACTGTAGTTTCCAAGTTATGTAAGCTTGACAATTTAAAATGCGGCAACTAGAAAATGAATTGAGAAGCAAGAAAATTTCAAAACACCAATAAAACGTCAACAACTTAGTTTCCAATCTAAAGCATCCTTCTTCAAATTGAACATTTCATCTTACCTATCTGGAGAAGATGAACAAATGAAAACTTGTTTAGCAAATGAAAACTTACCTGCTGATATTTTCTGAGTTCTGCTTTAATTGGCACTGGAATTTTATAATTTTCTAGTTTTTTCCCATCCAATAATTGTTCCAGGAAATGGCGCTCCTTGGCTTTTATTTTAATTAAATCTTCAGACATATTCGGTGGATCTGGAATACCCGCCTGAAAGAAAAGATAGAAGTACAAATGAAAAACCGAATAGTTTATTTGGCCAAGCGTGATTAGTGTATTAGGATCTACTTTCTTCTAAAAAGGCAAATTAAAGTCACAGAGTTTTCAGAGTTTGTAAAATGTACATAGTCCTCAAATTTACATTCGCCAAATATTTAAGCAAACCTGCATAATAATTTGCTATCAGAATAGAATGTAATTTAGAATGAAAGAAGAGGTGTTCTGAAAGGCCAAGCAATGATGGAGAATTGAAAAAAACGGTAACTCTAAATCAGGGGTGTCCAACCTTGGTAACTTTAAGACTTGTGGACTTCAACTCCCAGAATTCCTCAGCCAGCTTTGCTGGCTGA